CGCCCCCGCCCAGCCCCCGCCCTCGCCTGGGGACCGGGGATAAATCAGGGAGGCGAGCGCCTGGGAGTCAGAGCGCGGGCGCCAGCGGGCTGGCCCAGCTCCTTTCCCCGCTCGCCCTTGATGGCGGCGCAGGCGAGGCAGCCGCTTAGAGCGGCCAACAAGCGCTAGAGGGTCCGCCCGCTCCCCGCCTGCCGCCGCCCGCTCCCCGCCCTCAGACGTCGGCGCTCCCGGCTCCGGACTCGGGTCCCCGGCCACCGCGTGCAGCCTCGCCGCCTCCCGGGTCGGGGAGGGAGGAGACTGATCTTCGATCGCGAAGATGGCTGCTGGCTGCCTGCTGGCCTTGACTCTGACACTTTTCCAATCTTGGCTGATCGGCCCCTCGTCGGAGGAGCCCTTCCCTTCCCCCGTCACGTAAGTCCGCGGGGCCGGGCGCGGGATGGACCGGGTGGGGCTGGGGGCGGGGGTCCCCGCCTCGGTCTGCCGGGCTACCCGTGGGGGCGGGGAGCGCTCGGTCGGCCGGCGGGGCTGGGATCTGGGAGGCCAGGCTGGCGGGCGGTGTGCGCGTCTGGCGGCTGGAAGGCGCTCAGAATCGGGGTACCGGAGCTCCGGCCCGCCGCACCTCCGAGGGAACGGCCAGCCGTCGGCGGCGTCTCAGCCCATCTCCGAGGATGCTCCACGCTGAAGACTTAAACTCGACTTGGGGGAAAAGTTTCCAAGCATACCCAGCTCTCATCAAAGCCGGCTTGATGAAAAGTTGTGTTCCCGTTAGGTATTTTTAAATAGTTCGCTGTAGGCTGGCTACGGTAGCTTGCGCTTCTCCTGATCTTGGCCCCTGGGGTGCTAACGGCTGTAGTGTCCAAACTCATTTAGATTCCAGGTTACTAGCAGCGCTTGACAGCTTTGGCGATTTGAAGCCTGCTCTCTCCGGAAGCAGAGCACGCTGTCCACTCCGGCGCTCGCAGGTACCCGGGCCACGCCAGCCAACCCACCCAACCCTTTATTTGAATCATCTAAGTGCCGACAGACACGCGGTTCCTGTTCTTAGAATGAAAAGAACTATTCTTTGAGGGAGGGACTGTTTCCACAGTCTCCTGCAATTTTCTCTTATTTTTAACATTTCTAAAATAACTTTAAAAAAAAAAAAAAAGCCTCGTTGCTATTCTGGAAATAGTGTTGAAAGGTAGCTATAGTCACACCGCAGGAAGCGAATGAAATGTAACAAATCCCTGCTCTCTCAGGCTGCAATAAGGAATCCCAGTCAGTGGCACATATAAATATATACATATTTTTAAATGCGCTGAATAGCTTATCAGGCATTCTGGGAAAGCATTTATTTTGGTTCATGAAGGTACTTTAAAGCTTCTAAGAGTAGGTAGTCTTAAGTGGGTGAGTCACTTTAATGCATTTTACATAACAAAAACAAAGCCTAAGGTAGCCTTCCCGGCATTTATGCGGCAGGGCAGGGAATCACTTGCTATCCTTTGTTGGCGGAGTGCTGAATCCTGGAGTTTTGGGGATACATTAACAGTGCATCTTTACCGACTGGAACCGGCAGCTGTTATTTAAGATTTGGCTTAGAATATTTACCATGTCAGAGCAGGCATGTAGACGATGCATATTCTAACCTGGAGAAAGGGAGTCTAATATTTTATGTCACTGATTTACAGTAATGTTCCTCCTTAGACAATCTTCTTTAAAAATGATTGCATATCCCTTTTGTTATGAAGCGAAAGGGTAAATGCCATCTGTAGAGCTTCGTTTAATTGGCAGACTGTTCCAATTGGATATTTTTAAGCGTGAAAAGTCTAAGCATTCGCTAAAGATGCTACAAAATCATTCAGTCTTACTGAGAAATCACACTTTCACTTATTTATATTTTGAGTTCTTTTGGAGCTTGGCCTATTAAATGAGAACTTCAGTGACTCGTTTGGATTTTGTGTCAATAAGTTGTGGCTTTAAAAAAGCCACATTCTAAATGTATTCAGGATGCACATTTTTAGTGTTGTTTTAAATTGATTTGCCAGTATTTCCGTCATTTTGGGAGAATGCCTTATCACACTGGGGAAAGCTAATTGCAAGAAAATCAAACCTTTTATTCTTGAACATGCCGTGGTAAAATATTAATGTAAAAATCCTTGTTGTGAGAGCATCTGCAGCAAACCCTTTCCCAAAATTAGGTATCTTGATTTTCCTGCTCTGGACATGAGAGAGCAGTCAGGACACCTCAGCTCCTTATCTTTGAAAAGATTTGAATTGTTTTTCAATAATAGGAGTATAGAATATTTTCAAATTCTGTGAAACATTTTATGGACTAACAACAGTCTTTGTGGCTCTAAGTTAGTGTTCTGTGGGTAGTATCAATAGTTTTGGAAGCCTATGTCTGCAGTTATTTATTTCCAAAGTTAATAATACTATCTTCTGAGGAAGGGAGAAATGATAGTTGACATTTGCACTTCCTATTAGGATCCAGAATAGAATCTGTAAGTTAAAATGTGGCATGCATCTCACCAAGAGACAGTTCCTTTTGCTTTGCTTGCATGAAAACATTTTTATATAGTATTTATCAGGATAAATATCAAGTTTTTTGGGAAAAAAATCAAGTTTATAAGAACTGAATCCAAAGATTGTAACAATCACTAAAGGCAAATTATGATGCTTCTATTTATAAATTTCTCTGCAAATTCTTTTGTTTTCTGGGCAGTTATATTTTTTCAGAGGAAAAGTAATATGAGGAATTTTCATCATCAGAATAGGAAGAACATGACATTAACATACTCAAAAATTAGCTAGGTTCTAATTGGATTTGGACCTAAATTAAAATTAGTAATTAAAATGTTTTTGAAAAATATTGTTTATTATGAAGGGCTTTAGTTTTATTATAATACAACATAAATAACATGTCACTCTAAATAGCTGGTTTTCTGCTTTCTGGTCTAACCAACATTCTGATATAGTATATATTTCTGGAATAAAATAGTAAAACTATTCCAACAATTAATATTCAAATAAGTTTATTTTTAGGCAAAGGAATTTCAAGTGTTCTTTTTCTGAGACAGATGTTTATTTTGGAAATACTTTTCATGATAAGGTGTGAAACAAATATGTTATATGCTAGCAACCACCCAATGTATATTGTTTTATGTATAAATGGAAATATTTCATATTCATATTATAATAAATATGCTATATTGATATTTTAAAATGTAGTTCTCAAAATGTACAGCTCTCTTTCTGGAAATACTTTCTTGGTTTCTATGTTAAAACATACCTATTTTAAAACTCAGGATTACATGTATGATGATCAGAACTGTAATGTTAATTTAAATCTGTCCTTAATTTTAGAATATGTTTATAAGCCCAGTTTTTAAAGCACTGTACTGTAAATTAAACTTCTATCTCAGTCATATGAAAATGCCACTTGGTGAACAATAAATAGTTGGATAAAAGCCAATTACTAATGGGATTTTATTACAAACTTGCAATGGACTAAATATATAAATAAGAACATAATTATTTATAAGAAACAACACCAAATGCATGAAACATTAGTAATTTTGAGGATTCAGTACTTATGATACATTTTTTCTGTTATTATGTAGACATTTCTGTGTGCCATGACATTGGATTGGTTGTCTACCTATTCTATGCATTAGAAGTGATGTAGTTATGCTCACTTGAATTTTCTATTCACATTTGATATAATTGAGGAAATGTGCTTTAGGAAAGAATATGAAATAAAATAGTAAATATAAAACTTAAAAAGAATGAGCATTAATGACTCCTTTGCTCAGTTTTTAATTTGTTCTCATAACCCTAACCACATAACAGCATTTATTATTCTACAGGTGTATGTTTAGAATATGAAACAGTAGGTATATATTTTCATATAAGCAGCAATATAATTCTTAATTTGTGGTTTCCACATATAGGCAAATATGTAGTAATTTGCATTGGGATTTCAATGTACATTAAGCAGACTGATATGAAATCTAGAAAACATTTTAGAAAGATATAAGAACATAAACTTATGGGTTATAAAAAT